GGGTTTGGGGTTCGAGGTTTAGGGGTTTAGGCTTTGGGGTTTTAGGCTTTAGGGTTTGGGCTTTGGGGTTTAGGGTGCAGGGGTTAGGTAGATTCGAAAAGGTCTGAGCCTTAAGCACCTTGACTCTGGCTTTCAAGAGCCGAACCTGAGAGCTTGGTTGTCCGGCAGGAGGTAGGACAAGTCGACCTGACCGCGTATGGGGGTTTCCGAAAATAGGGGACCCTAATATAGCATCCTAAATAGAATAAGGTACCCTAAACCCTAATCCCTAAACCCTAAACCCTAAACCCCTAATTTTCGGAAACTCTCACATGGAGTTGCGCTTTCTTCACGACTCTGGCGGATGTCTTGGCCTGCGGTCCCCCATCGGATGAATCCACCACGCCAAACACCTGGTTTAGGGTTTAGGGTTTAGGGTTTAGGGTTTAGGGTTTAGGGTGGCTCTGGATTGAAAGTGACAGGACAAAGGAAAGTGCATCTGGACTGCAGCTTAATGTCTCTTGGATTGCATGCAATCGCGTTTGCGAACTCAGCAGAATTAGAAACATTGGTGGCCGAACAGGAAACACAGCCCAGCAAGCCTGCCTCTAGTTTGCCATAAAAGTGCAGCTGGTGCTGCGGCCAAAGCATGGATGATGAATGGCCAGCGCTTTCGCGGCCACGGACCTGCCATTGCTTGCAAGTTTGCTGCCTCCAGTCTCAAGGAGTCCAGCCTGATGGTGACCGCACCCTGCACAAATACTAAGTAGTGCCCACGCATCACTCGATAATCTACAACCAAACCATCAGCGCAGAGGCTGAGTTCAGGCATCTAGCACATCCCAAACCCTCCACACGAAAGCAGTTGTTTATGACAAGCTTTGATGCAGCCCACAATCCGAATCCAAAATGTGTGTAGTTCTCAAAATTAGGGTCCCTTTTGGGGTACCCTAAATAATAGGTGCCGTATTATAATAAGGACCCCAAAAGGGACCATAAGTTTGACAACCACCCATGTGTCTGCAAGTCGTGCCTGCAGTTGCAAGTCGAAGCGGCTCGCCACGCCTCGACAAAGAAGGACAAGGAACTCGCTGCTGCTCCCTCAAGGCAACTCTGTGCAACAGCTCCAAGGTAGGTTCGCGACTCTGTGCGTCAGCAGCTGGTTGCAGCTTCACGTCCTGACCAGCTGGAGGGGTGAAAAATGTGAGAGTGATGTCGCTTCTACGGAACAAGTTGACGAAACAGCTCCATTGACAAGCGAGAAGAAACTTGGCATCCGGCATGTATTTGATGTCCACTGCCTGATCGGCACGTCAGCCATCAACATCACTGCGAAAACTGCATCCCACAGATGATCCGAGGAGGCTGCGATTGGAAAGTGTGGCCTCGTGAAACGAACAGGGAACTGTCACCGACAGGAAGTAAAGTCGAAGCTCGACACCTCGAACTCGATGGTCCGTCGAGTTGATGTGGATGTTGAAGGTGCTACGCGCGAGCGAAGGGCCAGCAGGACCTCAAGGTACCGGGGCTGACCAAGGCCATGTCATGAAATTAGATGCGTGGTGCTCAAGCCCAAACTAAATCGAGTGAGTCCCCCATTGCGAGTCCTCATCTCTTAAGCAATCGGATCGGTCTTCTAGGCAATGCCTACTGAGGTCAGCAACATGTCTGTCCCGGACCTGCTGGTCCTCGTAGAGGATTCCTTGCTGCTTCAGCAGCAAGTCGCGGAAGTGCGAACTGGTTCTCAGAGTGAGTTCATGCCTCGGCAACATTCGCATCCGGGGTTTAGGGTTTAGGGTTTAGGGTTTAGGGTTTAGGGAAGCTCCCCTGTGAACCGACCTGAGCGTAATATCCTCGCTGGCAGGATGCCGAGCTGCGATAGCGGCCATCCCGTTATCCAAGCATAGTCGACGCAACCACAGTAGTACTCAGCCATTTCATTCCGCGCCAGCACAGTTGCCACTACAGCAAAAGTGCCATATTCTAATCCTAAACCCTAAACCCTAAACCCTAAACCCTAAACCCTTACCTCACAGGCATTGCTGTTGCACAGCTGAGGCCTCTACGACGGGGGCAGCCGCCTGCCCGGTGCAGTCACGACGTTACGACATGAAGGCCTCTGAGGTTAAATACCAACACTATTTTGGGGGGCCTCCTTATGA